CTGTGGAAGTCACAAAGAGCCCAAGGCCTGGAGTTTGAGAGGCCACGTAGTCTTTCCCTCACTGAAATGTCCACGGAGTGGGAGAGAGACGGTAACTGGCCTGTGGCCCACAGAACTGTATCTACCAATTCAGCACTGCTTGGCTGGGAGTCAGGGGGCTCTCCCGTGGAAGTCACAAAGAGCCCAAGGCCTGGAGTTTGAGAGGCCACGGGGCCAGGACCAGAGGTGGGAGAGAGCACAGACAGCCAAGAGAGCTGGCGAGGCAGGAGACGGCCAGGTCCAGCGAGCCCAGGCGGCCACAGGGACAGCCTGGTCTTTATCCTAAAGACAGTGGGAGCCTCTGAAGGGTTTTAAGCAGGGAAGTGACACCGCCAGGTTTGTGTGTTTAGATGACTTGGGTAGGGGAGGGTGGTGAGGTGGGAGGTGACTGACATGGTCTGTGGGGTGACAGGAAGTAACTAGGTCTGGGTGGGCAGTAGCGGGGATGGAGAGGATGCTTGGGATTCCACAGGCATTAGGGAAAGCTCACAACCGCTGTTCTTTTGACCTATGATTTAGGGGCTGTGGGCGCTAACAACTAGGAGATCACCCTGCTCTTTAGCTTCCTCCTGCTCCTGAAGCTGGAGCCGTGGAGGTAAAGAGCTCAGCTGGTATAACCAACAACCCCCACAAAAGAGAAAAATTGGCAGGTTCAGGTCAGTAGAAGTAACAAAAATACAGGATAATTTGCAAGGAACAAAATAAATGATCAGTATTGGATTAAAGCATAGTCTGCACCACAAGATGGTTACTGAAGCTCTCTGATGTACAGGAGTCCCTGAGTGGTATACATGTCAGTGCACTGCTCACCGAAAGGTTGACAGTTCAAATCTACCCAGAGGCCCTCGGAAGAAAGACCTGGTAATCTACTTCTGAAAAATCAGCCATCGAAAATCCTGTGAGCACAGTTCTGCTCTGACACACATGAGGTTGCCATGAGTCGAAGTGGACTCGATGGCATCTAATTTATTATGTGTAAGACTCTGATGTAAAGTCAATTTGTCAATACAGGTTGAAGTTTATTTATGAGGCAGCTTGGCCTGGACTAGTAGACCGTGAGATAGGTGCACTCAGCTGGCCATCAGGGCCCCTGGGCTTTGGAAGTCACTACCCGGGCAGACATGTGACACATGGGACTTGGTTTCAGAGACTGTGGCATCTGCCCTAAGCCACTGCTTGTTTCTCTTTTGCTCCTACTAGTTGTTTTATAAGGAGCCGTGGTGACACAGTGGTTAAGCTCTTGGCTGCTAACCAGAAGGTTGATGGTTCGAACCCACCAGCTGCTCTACAGGAAAAAAACTTGGCAATCTGCTTCCATAAAGATTACAGCCTAGAAAACCCTATGGGGAAGTTCTGCTCTGTCCTACAGGGTCGCTATGAGTCAGAATTGACTCAACAACACCCAACAACAACAGTTGTTTTATAGCAGATTTGTTGGAGGGCTGGATGATAAATCCCCTTTCTGCAGAGAGTAAAAACCCAGAAGCAGCATTATCTCCATCTCTACCATTAATCAGGTGATGACTACAGGTGCCTTGATTGACAATAGTTTGCTCTGTGATTTATGTTGAAGATTGCAATTGATTAGTTAAAACCCTACAATCAAAAATTGCCACTTGGGCCTACCTACCTGAATTGCCCAAAGGAAGCTGAGCGTGTGATCCTCCAAGTGGTACTGGGTTACCTACTAATCTGTAAAAAAGAATCCTGGTGGCGCAGTGGTTAAGAGCTACGGCAAGCTATGGCTGCTTACCAAAAAGTCGGCAGTTCAAATCCTCCAGCCGCTCCTTGAGAACCCTATGAGGCAGTTCTGCTCTGTCCTGTAGGGTCACTATGAGTCTGAATCAACTAGATGGAAATGAACGTGGTTTTTTGGTTTGGTAAATGGCAATAGAGCTCACCTGTTTGTGATAGGTGGGGAACTCTCCAGCTCTGGAGGTGTGCAGACAGACCCCTTGAAGTGTTGGCTTTGGATGGGATGGCCACTTGGATGTCTTCTGGATCCATGATTCTTTGGAATGCCCATTTGTTCTATTTGATGTGGTGTGTGTGTGTATGTCTATGCACACCTGTGCATGCATATGTGTAAAAAATGCCTAAGACTGTCTCTCTAGATCGCTCATTAAAAAGATGCTCTTGACAGTACACAATACAGGGGAAACTAGCACAACCTGTACAAGGAAAGGTCATGGAAGCCCCATAGACGCATCCAAACTCCCTGAGGGACTGAGTTGCTGGGCGGAGGGCTCTGGGGACCATGGTCTTGGGGAACATCTAGCTGAATTGGCATGACACAGCTTATAAAGACAGTGCTCT